GGTGCTGCAGTGGTCGGTGACTCTCATCGATTTGCTGAGCGCACTTCTCAGGTGTAATGGTTCACTGGGATTCAGAGAGCTGTAGTGGATCAGTCAGCAAACCACCAGTGACCGTGACTTTTTTTGGTGCAAGCTTGGCTTTGGGAGTGCTCTGGAGCTGCTCCTCAGTCCAGCCAGTTATTGTATAAAATCCTCTTTTCGTCCAGTGTCACAGTCCAATCAAGAAATGGTTCATTGTAGTTGCGTAGAATAAGAAAAGATGACACTTGAAAACGACAATTTTTTTTGATTTGCAGTCATCTCATGAGGCATTCAGGGCTTCCCTGGTGGCTGAGATGGTAAAGAATCAGCTGCAGTGCAGGAGACCCAGGTTCGATCCCTGGGTCAGGAAGATGCCCTGGAGGAGGGCATGGCAACCCACTCCACTGTTCTTGCCTGGAGAATCCCATGGACAGAGGAGCCTGGCAGGCTACAGTCCATGGGGTCGCAGAGAGTCAGGTATGACTGAGTGACTAACACATGAAACATTCACTTGTCAAGCTTATTCCCCTTTCCAATTTGCTTCAAGTGCTGAATAGCCGTAGAATTGATCAACACTGAGTTCTTTGGCAACTTCTGTAATTATAAGAGGATCAGCTTCGATGATGTCTCTCATTTTGTCATTGTCAACTTCCAATGGTTGGTCACTGCACTGCTTGTCTTCAAGGCTCTCGTCTCCTTTGCAAAACTTCCTGAACCACCACTGCACTGTATGCCCCTTAGCTGTTCCATGTTGATGTTGGAAGTTAACCTCTGCTGCTTTATGACCCATTTTGAACTCAAATAAGAAAATCGCTTGAATTTGCTTTTTGTCTAACGTCATTTCCATTGTCTAAAATAAATATAAAATGAAGAGCAAGTGATTTATTTATTATGATTTGTTAATCATTAGCAAAAAACAAAGTGAGAAATGCGTTTTAAAATGATGTATAACATAACCACATTTATTTGAAATGTATTCCAATATCAGATGGCAAATATCAACATTGCAAAACCACAATTACTTTTGCACCAACCTAATACTAATGTTACATTTCACATAAAACATAGTTAACTCATAACTGTGTAGATGCCTATTCTTTCCACCCTAACCTTCCTTGTCTTTTATGTTGTAATTATATGTATTACATTTACACATATTATAACCCCCACAAGACAAATCACAATTCCCATTTTTGATGCTTTTCATTTTTTCTTGATGATCTGGATTTCCATCTGGTAACTTTTCCTTTTGGTTTAAAGAATTTCCTTTAACCTTTCTTGTGGTGCAGTTCTGTTAATAATGAATTCTGTTCATTTTTTTGTCTTCCTTCTTGAAGGATATATTAATCAGATACAGGAATTCTGTTCTGATAGTTTTTCCTTTAGCACACTAAAGAAGTTCAGTGTCTTCTGGCCCTTGAATTTTTGATGAGAGACCAGCTTCTAGTGAAATCATTCTCTGATAATGTGTCATTTTTGGGGGGAAAAACAAATTGTTTATTGTGGGATCTCCGTTCCCCAACCAGGATTTGAACCCAGGCCACAGTCATGAAAGCCCAGAATTCCAATCACTAGATCACTAGAATTCTAATCATTAGATCACTAGAATTCCAATAACTAGATCATCCTTAGAACTCCTTGTAAGGTGTCATTTCTCTCTGCATGTCTTTAAGATTTGCTTTTTCACCTTTGGCTTTCAACAGTTTGATCTTGGCTGGCCTTCTTTGTATTTATCCTGCTTGATTCTTATTGAATATCTTCAATCTATAAATGTATGTCTCTCACTGAATTTAGGGAATATTCAGCCATTATTTTTCAAATAGTTTTTCTGCCCTATTCTCTCTCCTCCCCTTCTGGGACTCCCGTTAGTTTATGATATTTTCAAACAGGTTTATTGACTATCTATTAATTTTTATTTCGATCTTTTTTCTTCCTTTATTCTTCTCATTGGATAATTTCCGTTGTTCTATCTTCAAATCCACTGATCTCTCTCCAGATCTCTGTTAAGTCCAACAGTGTATTAATGTTTTAGTTCTGGAATTTCCATTTGATTCTTTTTTTGTTTCTATTTCTCTGCTGTCTTATGTTTTGGTTCACTGTAAATATATTATTTTTCACTTTATTGAAGATAGTTCCAATAGCTTCTTTAGAATCATTGTTTCTTGAAACTTCCAACATCTGGGGCATCCCAGGATTGGTCTCAGTTATTTCCTTTTATTTAAGGATATCTTCCATTTTCCTGATTCTTCACATTTTGTAAGTTTGGATCATATCTAGGACACTGAGAATGTTAAGTTTGAGAGTCTCTGGGTTCTGCTGTTTTTATCCAGTGAGTTGCTTTAGTTTCAGCAGGTAGCTGTGTTGGCTGGACTCAAGCTGCAGACTGTTTCGCAGGCAGCAGCCTGACCCTTGGGCCAGTCCTCTTGTCTCCAGCCATGCCGCTGAGAGTGTGCTCTGCGTGAGTCTGGCTCAGGGGTCAGCCAGAGGTGCAGGCAGATGGAGTTGGGAATACTTCCTCAGATTTTTTCCCTTCCCAGTGGACATGGTTTCCCAGGTTGGTTTTTCTGACTCCTAAACCAGAAAGATTGTATTTTCCCCCCATAAATCCTCAGCTAAAGGCTGTGAAACCATGAATTCATTCTTTGCAGCTCTTCCTCCTCCAAGTGTGGACCACCCATCTGCCTGTCTTCTTTCTTCTCCATTGCTTTATCTGAGTTTGTAGTGTTCTGGAGGAGTGCTAGAAGACAGGATCCTAGTCATCACTGAAGCCAGGCTTTCAAACTTTCATTTTAGTAAGAGGAAAACTGACAATAAATGAATAAAAATAAAAAGTATATACAGACATACCTTGGAGGCATTACGAGTTTGGTTCCAGACCACTGCAGTTATTTTACAATATTACAAAGAGGCAAGCCACACAAATTTTTTGGTTTCCCAGTGCATGTGAAGGTTATTTTTACACTCTATTGTAGTCTTTTAAATGTACAATAGCATTGCATCTAAAAAATGTATATACCTTAATTAACACTTAAATCTAAAAAATGTTAATCATCATTTGAACCTTCAGTAAGCCATAGTAGTAACGTCAAAGATCACTGATTTCAGATCACCATAGGACATAATAATAATGAAAAAATTTTAAATGTTGCAAAAATGACCAAAATGTAACACAGAGACAGAAAGTGGGCAAATGCTGTTACCGGTAGACTTGCTTGACACACAGTTGCCACAAATCTTCAAATTATAAAAAACACACTATCTGCCAAGTGCAATGAAAGGACGAATGCCTGTCGTGTTAAGTAGTGCTGTTGGTTATTTGTTGCTTTGTTACAGACTTCTCCAAAACTCTGAGGCTTAAATCAACTCTGATTTTTTTTCACTATAATTCTGCAACCTTGGGTTGGTGGGGAGTTGCCTGATCCAGCTGGCCTTGCCCAAACCTGTGTGCCTGCATCTCAGCTGTCTCACACATGTATCCACAGGCGGGCGGGGGTTGAGCTGTAGTCTGGGCTTGGCCAGGACACCTTAGTGAGAACCACTGTCCTCTCTGGGCTCTCATCTTCCTCAGGGGAGCAGTCACTGGGCCAGCGGGGTTACCTTTCTCATGGTGATGGCGGAAGTGCAGGAGGAGAGTCCCGTAACTCATGTAATATGCCCACAACGTAGTAACCCATTCCCAACTTTTTGACCATTTTAGGCCATTTAAAATATTTTGCCTCTCCTGGATTTGTTGAGTACTGACTTCTTAAAGCACTTTACACATATTAGTTTATTTCATTCTCATAACAACCTTATGAAATAGATACTCTTACTGCTCCCACTTTACAGATGAGGAAACTGAGGTACAGAGCAGCCTAAAGTCATCCACTGTGAGTAGCAGAGACAGGATATGGAGCTGGGCAGCTGCCAGTACCCATTCTTCAGTGTGCTAATAAAAGTGTGAAGAATTGTGTCCACATCTCTGAATGTTGGAGTACTGGCTCCTAGGATAGTTGTTACATTTATAGGCGTATTATTTTTGTCTGCTGTCAGGTGACTGGGCATCTTAAAGTTGCTGCTGGGCTAGTTTGCCCCTCCTACTCCAAGATGGTGAAATGCTAGGCTAGCTGGTGAACTTCGTTAAGTACAGACCCAGAAGTGGTGTGGTGTTTGCTGTGCAGGCTGAGAAACAGTCAGGACTGATGATCGACTCGGCCAGCACAGGAGACATAAGAGATATGGGTTCAGTCCCTGGGAAGATCCTCTGGAGGAGGGCATGGCAACCCACCCCAGTATTCTCGCCTGGAAGGTTAGGACAGAGGAGCCTGGCAGGTTCCAGTCCATGGGATCACAAAGAGTCAGACGTGACTGAAGTGACTTAGCAAGCAAAGCAGCCCAAGCTCCAGGTCTGGGTGGTAGCCCAGACAGCAGCGGGCGTTCTGCAGAATGGCACTTGCTGGGCCAGAGGACAGCTGTGTGTGCAGGTGGGTGACCCTCCGGCCCATAGCACTTTCACCTCCCCGGCCCCACATGCAGTTTGCATGACGAGGCACCAGAGGAAGGGAGTGATTTCAGGGCGCTGGCAGAAGTGCAGACAGCTTAATGGAGGGCAGTCATCTGAGCATTAGGTTTATGAGGCTCTTGTCATTTTTCTATTTCCATTGTTAACCATTCTGCCAGGCTGAGCTGTAAGGATACCTGTCTGATATTTCTTGCTTTGAAACAGTGGGGGAAAGGAAAGGTCAGGAAGAGAAATCTGGTTGAGTTATAATTGTGGAAAGCCTAAGTCAAAGCTGGGATACAGGTAAGGCTAAACTGAGAATTTAGAGTTTTCTCTTGTTTGGGATTGTTTTCAGGGTTAACCGGTTGCCAGTGAATATACAGAGTCACACCGGCCTTTAACTGCAGTTATGGGCTTTGGTTCCCTGAAAGTATTCAGAATTACACCTGCTTGTCTGTTATGTACTTTATGCCTAACAGCATTTCCTTTTTTTGCTCAGGTTAGCAGCAAAGATGAAGATTTTCTTGACCTTTCTGTTGATGTGGAGCAGAACACGTCTATTACCCACTGTCTAAGGTAACCTCATGAATTCTGACTGTGGTCTGAGCTTTTGATGAGGCTAGTAAGACATGGAGGAAAATTTCCTGTATTTCTTCAGGAGATAATCTTCCTTTCTGTTAAACCAATGTAATCCTATTATTTTCTATTTCTTCTTTCCCGAGAGAGATTAGAAATAAGTATATGTTGTCTAGAGAAGAGTCCTGCTGAGGGGCGAGGGGATCAAGTGGAAGTCATTAGTCATTAAGTTTAAAAATAAGCTTTTAATCTTTAATACAGATGTGTGCTTTGGGCCCTCATCTGCCTCTCCACACACACAGACACACCCAATCACAGTCACACAATTAAGTTGAAAAATGCTATGGATGCCTACCATTCCTTTCTTTTCCTAAGCTAATCTAGTCTTTGATTTTAAAAATTATGCACCTTTGAACTGAGAACCGATGAGGGCATTGCCTTTTCCTCCATCTTGCAGCATTGTGTAGAGCTCATTCATGGAAGAAGGCTTCCTCCTAATTAGGGTTGGGGGAGGTAAGGTTCCCTGAGTGTAAGTAACACACGTCCAGGGTTCCTGCAGATACTGTGTTTTGACTTGTGGTTGAAAACGTGCTCAGAGTTGGTTTGTTGTTGTTCAGTTGCTAAGTTGTGTCTGATTCTTTGTGACCCCATAGACTGCAGCACGCCTGGCTTTCCTGTCCTTCAGCTATCTCCCATAGTTTGTTCAAATTATGTCCTTGAGTCGGTGGTGCTGTATAATCATCTCATCCTCTGTTGCCCACTTCTCCTGCCCTCAATTTTTGCCAGCATAGGGCCTTTTCCAATGAGTCGACTCTTTGCATCAGAGTATTAGAGCTTCAGCATCAGTCCTTCCAGTGAATATCCATGGGTGATTTCCTTTAGGATTGACTGGTTTGATCTGCTTGCAGTCCAAAGGACTCTTAAGCATCTTCCCAACACCACAATTGATGCCGAAAGCATCGATTCTTCGGCACTCAGCCTTCTTTATGGTCTAACTCTTAACATCGTATATGACTCCTGGAAAAACCATAGCTTTGACTGTACGGACCTTTGTTGGCAAAGTGATGACTCTGCTTTTTAATATTCTGTGGAGACACAATTCACTGTCCTGTCCCCATTGCTTTCTCCTCCTTTTAACTTATAATCAGCCCTGCTCTTCTGGACACTGGAGGTCAAGGCTGAGCATCAGGTGTGTATCTGACAGTCTAGTGAGAATGCACAGACAGGAATCCGTGCTTCGAAGGACATTAAACGTGTCTAGAGAGTGCCTGGTAATGGGGGTGCCAGGACAGACCAGGTGGTCTGGGTGGCCCTTCCCATTGCTTAGAAGGCCTCATCAGCTCAGGGCACTGTTGGTTTTATTTGTTTATTTTAAACATGTATTCTATTTAAGTATAGCTGATTTGCAGTGTGGTAATCTCTGATGTACTGCAGAGTGGCCCAGTTATACATATATGTGCATTCTTTCTTGCTTTGTCACAGGGTATTGAATACAGTTCCCTGAGCTGTATAGTAGGAGCTATCTGCTGACCCCAAACTCCCAACCCTCCACCCCCTGCCCACACCCCCCAGCAACCACAAGTCTGTTATTCTCTATGTCTGTGAGTCTGTTTTGTAGATAAGTTCATTTGTGTCACATTTAAGATTCCACACGTAAGTGATACCATATGGCGTTTGTCTTTGTCTTTCAGGCCCTGTTGATCTTTATCAGTGGGCATCGTGTGACAGAATTGTTCTATCAGGAGTTCAGGTTACTCGGAACTCTTTAGATTAAAGGGACTTGCTGTGGCCGTCGACTATAGAAAGTCATTTTTCATGGCAGAGGCACCAGCTCCAACCTGGCAGAGCGTCCCGGTTTGTCTGGGTGCCATGTATTGTGTGAGCTGGGGGCTGGTTACTCTCGAATTCCCAGGAGGCTGAGGCTTCCCCGTCCCCACCAAGTTCCCTCAGCACCTCCTGCTGGTCTGGCATTTCATCCCTTGTCTCCAGATGCCTTGGGTCCAGGCGTCCAGGACACATTTATGGTCTCTGTTTGCAAAGCATTTTGCAGGCCAGGATAGCTTTTTTTTTTTTTCTTCTTATTGGTTCTGTTTTTGGCATGGGCTTTTTATGTTCCTGTGAAAAGAAGCCAGTTTTGATTTCCTCAGGGTTTTGTGATCACAAGGAGTCAAAAAAGCTATAAAGTTATGCCAGAGCTGGTCATAGGTGAGGGAACAGAAGAAAGGGTATTGCCTGCCCATTCTCCTTGGAGAAAGGGAGCTAGGAGGCTGACTGCTTCCCCTCCCTTCTAAGAAATTCCTGGGCTGTTCAAGAGGGCAGTTGGCAGTGGCTGTAGCTTTGAGACAAGCCTTTTGAGACTTTTGGGGAGCCTTCTTATAGACAAATGTAACCCAGAACTAAGTCCCCCTACTTTTTTTCTTGAGGAAATATATACATTGGCAATGCATACCTGATGAAGGCAGGCTAGAGACATTTGGAGGCCTTAAAGCGGGAATGGGTAGGTACGGAATAGCCTCAGAATACATTTTAAACAACATCAGATTTTCATCTGATTGTCCAGGCTGATATTCCTGAAGGGCCTGCCCTTCCCCCTTAGTACATCATCCTGAAGATAGATGCTGGCTGACTTACCTGGCCCTGCCTTCATCGATGCCTCAGAGCTCACCTCCCCAGCAGAGAGGAGTCTGCCAGCCATGGCTGTCCACCACTGAGAGTTCTGGGGTGAGGGTGGCGGCCTCCCAGCCTCTCCCAGAGGAGCAGAGTGCAGGAGAGAGCTCCCGGGAATAAATGATGCCCGCTGGTCCGTTAGCTTGTTCTGTTTGAGACAAAAGAGAAAGGAATGATGATGATCTTTTTTGGCCCCTTTCATGGCTTAATGTGGTTTGCGTTCCTGAGGATTTGTTTTTCAAACTAGAATTATGAGTTTTCTTCTTGAACATCATGCCTGCATATCTCTTCTGGTGTGATATCATTTATTTTGATATTGAGAAAAGTTAAAAATCCAGCTAAAATTGTAGGATTTAAGTGTAAGATCTCTGCCACCTTCTTCCAGAAGGTGATCAATTACGACGTGTTTTCAGTGAACTTTTGTCCCAGAGAAATGATGATACAAATAGTGGTCAATTCAGGAAACAGGTCTAGAGAAGCCATTAAAGCCATATTGTAGCTGAGCTATACTTCTAATATTTCACATCTCAGCACTGTGTCTTAGGCAGGCAGAGCGAGCCATCTGCATCATAGGAGGATACTGAGAAATTTCTTTTTCTTTTGAAAAGTTCAGGGATGGCTGCAGGCAAAAACTTAAAATGCGTGTTTGTCTTGCCCCCTGTCCTTCTGGGCATTTTTTTGTCTTTCACTTCAGGGCCTTAGTCCCTACCAGTGGCTCCCACACGGAAATATACCTTTCTCCTCAAAGTGCTCCATGCTCTGACACCACTCTCCGCTTCCTCTGTCCTCCTCTTATTAAAAATGCCCATTCTGCCAGGGCCAGCGAGGTCAGCCTTTTTTAGTTCTCCCAAAGCTCTATTTTTAAATTACTCTTCCTTTTTAAAAAATATGTCTTTTCATTTTGGAAACTTCTCTGTGCCAAGTTTATATGCATCTCTATCACAAGTCTATTGCCATATGCTTATCTGTCAGTGTCTCTGTTTATCTGGCTTGTGTCTTAGTTTTGGCTATTTCTGATATATGGTATTTGCTAATATCTGACACATCTTTCTTGTGGATTTCTTTTTTTTAACCTTCTTTTAACACTTGAGTCAGTAGTTTTCAAACTTCGGTGCATATCAGAATCATCTGGGGAAGTTAGTAAAAGTGGAGGCCTAGGTGATATTTAACTTCTGTGATCCTGGGCATCTACTATTCCTTAATTTTCCAGATGGTTTTGATACTGCCAGAGTTTGAGAACCACTGCCCTAGATCTTGGCCACTCAAGTCAGGGGTCTGCGGGCTAGTGCCATTGACATTACCTGGGTCATTAGTAGGGCAGAATCTCTGGTCTCCTTCAAGAATGAGGGCACGCGTCAGGGCCTGCACTTGGACAAGGTTTCCAGGTGACTCCCACGCATGTTCACATTTGCAAAGCGCTGGGGACAGTGGCTGTCAGCCCACAGAGCTTTAAGAACAATGCTGCCTCTGGTTCTTGGAGACATTCTCATGTAACTTGGCTTGGAACGAGTGATGGGGGATTGAGATTGTTTTGAAAGCTCCCCTGGTGATTCTGATGAGCAGCAGAGTGAACCACTGCTGTAGACTCTAGAACAAAGCTGCCTCGCTTATATGCCATGGAAGATGGGTTACAGCTATGTGTAGACCCCCTCAACTGCCAGGCAGAGCCTGGAGCTGCCGGCAAAGTAGCTGTGTCATTGAACCCCATCTCCTTTCTGTGTGGCGCGGCCGTGTGAGTGAACCCCGGCTCCTTTCCGCGTGGCGCGGCCGTGTGAGTGAACCCCGGCTCCTTTCCACGTGGCGCGGCCGTGTGAGTGAAGCCCGGCTCCTTTCCGCGTGGCGCGGCCGTGTGAGTGTAGCCCGGCTCTTTTCCGCGTGGCGCGGCCGTGTGAGTGTAGCCCGGCTCTTTTCCGCGTGGCGCGGCCGTGTGAGTGAAGCCCGGCTCCTTTCCGCGTGGCGCGGCCGTGTGAGTGAAGCCCGGCTCCTTTCCGCGTGGCGCGGCCGTGTGAGTGAAGCCCGGCTCCTTTCCGCGTGGCGCGGCCGTGTGAGTGTAGCCCGGCTCCTTTCCGCGTGGCGCGGCCGTGTGGGTGAAGCCCGGCTCCTTTCCGCGTGGCGCGGCCGTGTGAGTGTAGCCCGGCTCCTTTCCGCGTGGCGCGGCCGTGTGAGTGAAGCCCGGCTCCTTTCCGCGTGGCGCGGCCGTGTGAGTGAAGCCCGGCTCCTTTCCGCGTGGCGCGGCCGTGTGAGTGAAGCCCGGCTCCTTTCCGCGTGGCGCGGCCGTGTGAGTGAAGCCCGGCTCTTTTCCGCGTGGCGCGGCCGTGTGAGTGAAGCCCGGC